TGTTCCTTTTGATATATAAAATTAGTTTTATTTTATAGCAGATCATGAATGGAAGATTGTCCATTCTCGAGTCTGTGAATCACGTTTTGTCTTGGATTTGTTTGTTAATGGAAAATTCACTAAAAGAATTAGTTTTCTTTTCTTTTTTTTTTTTTAACTTGGAAGCACCAGTGGTTTGTTTAGAGGCTGACAGTCAGCTGGGTGAAATCAGCGTTTGAAAAAAGTGGCTGGCAAAAAAGCCCTGTGCAATATTAATGTGTTTAGGAAAACCACTGGAAACAAAATGTTTATTGCCTCTTTAAATGTATGTTTATATACAGCTTCAAGTGGTTCATTTTACTCTGTACGGGCAACACTTGTTTTTAATTTTGTATTATCTAGAGAGCTGCACTAGTCACTAATTTAAAAAATGACATTTTTAATCTGAATGATTGAAATCCAGATTAGCGGCTCAGAGGAAGAACAGAGGGGAGATTTTATTGTGCAAAACCTGAGCCATATGTATTAAATACTGATGATGTGATTCTTTGAAAAAACTAACTTATCTGTCATATTGGGTATATAATGTTATTACTACAGTGCTTGTTCATCTATCTCTTCAGAGATGATGAGATGAAATTTCACAGTCATATTTTACATAATGTTAGCAATAGCTTAAAGCTAAGTCTGTGCCAAATTATGGTTTCCTTTTTGTTTTGGGATGCCTATTCCAACTGTGTCGATTGAGTGGCTGTTTCGTACCAGGTCCCTTTACAGTCACAGTGGGCAAGGTGGAACCCGTGCAGTGCCTCTGACAGATTGAGGCGCAGAGCAGAAGATGGTGATTTCTGAGAGTTTTTTATCTAGTTGGTAGTACAGCTCCAGCAACCCAGCAGCATGGCTTAGAACAATGGCACAGACTGTTTTTTTCCCTTTCTCCCAGGCCAGAAGAAAGCTTTGGTTGGTAAGGATTATATCTAGCAAAACTACAGAAGGGCTGGCAGGAGTGTGCTTTTTTCCTCCTTTGAATGTTCGTGTAAGATTATTAATTTTTTCTGTTTCTCAAAAAAATCCTTGCAGTGTGTGCAGCTTATTCGAAGAACTGTTGAACTTAAGATTGTGTGTGGCATGGGATTTCGGACAGATTTTGTTACTTTTGTTTGAAATGAGCATTCCAGTCTTCCCTTATCTCTTCGTAAAGTTTTTCCAAGATTTTTCCCACACTAGACCTTAGTAAAAACTTCCCCAAAAAGGTTCAGGTTCTATCCCAGTATCAGCTGCTCTGAATCAGTCTTCTTACATGCAGCACAATTTTAGGAAATCATTCTGATATCGATCGCAAAATGCAGAGTGGATGGTTCTCTTACAGTCTTGTTGTGACAACAGAGTCGTCCATGGGTAGATGAAATGTCAGAGCCCGGGAACCCATGGTGGTGGAGGGCAGTGGCTAATGTGTGGTTGCACAGTTCTCTGAAGAACATGTAGCGCAGGGAGCCATGTCAGGGAAGCAAGTTCTGCACAGAATTGTAGATGTGATGAGGACTGTAATATTTATATCTCCTCAAGAAGGGAGCACTACATTAAATGGAAAGCTACTGTAGAAGAAATGTCTGCTATACTTACTAGGCTTGGTGAAAAGCTTCAGTAAGTCTCCTTAATATAAATTGACTTTGATTGGAGTATTGTTTTTATATTTCTTCTGTAAGTTCAGGTTCCTTTTCAGTATAAATAGTCATGCATCTGAAACATTTGAACTGGTATTCATCTGCTGTTTCCCTGAGAACTGCTATCTGATCAAACCAATATTTTTTAATTATGTATTTATAGGCAGATGGGAGAATGGTTTACAGTCAATGTATGATCTTCTCTGCAAATCTTGGAAAATTGTGTTGTTTTTTTTTAATATTGCCTTATCAGGTTCTTTTTTTTTTATTACTGATGACTTCATTCTGTTTGAATTCAATGCTTCAGTTTCTTTGGGGTAAACTAATAGATTATGTATGCGATATTTGCACAGTGCTGATTGAATTCATCTGGAGAGTTTGAATGTGGTTCATATATTCACATAATTGTCAGGAGCCAACTTTAAATTCAGAACTGTTTCATGAGCATTGCACAGGGCATCATATTCATCTCGCATTACTCAGGAGCGGGTAAAACTTTCATGGTAAGCTAGATATGCAGCTCTTCCAAAAGCTGGTGTCTTTTACATTTGTGCCTATAAACAGTGATGGAGAAAAAATAAGAGCTGTGGAGCTTCAACTGTTTCCTGAAAAAATGAAGTTGATGTACTGACTGACTCTCCTCCGACTAGTTCCTCCCACCTTTCCAACAAATTCTGAACCTGCTGGCCATTTTTAACCAGACTTGACAGGTGATTCGATGTTCAAAAGATACTGGATCACTAAGTTTCATGAAAATAAGCAGCCTGCTAGAGAGGCCCAGACGAATGCCCTTGCTGGGAGAAATGCTGCACTGTGAACTCAGTCCCGTTACTGGACATGAGAGAACCCACAGGAGAGAAGCACAGGAAATCAGACTTCACGGAGCTGCTTGTTTCCACAGAGATTATGCTTGTGTTTTCACACTAATCCAGATGGATCACTTTCCATGTGCTGCTATCTTTCATTCAAACCTTCCTACACGTTCTCATGGTTAGGGTTTGTATTTTAATACAGCATGGCAGAGGTTTGCCAAAGGAAAAGCTGTCAGGCCCAGTCTTTTAATATCTATAATCAGCTTGATCTCTGCAGCACCTTCTTCCACTTGCTGGCTAGATGGGTATAAGCAGAAGGAGGTTCACCTACAGGAGATCTGCAGCTGATGGAGCCCAGGCTTCTCTTACTGCCTCTTACCATACAAATCTCAGATTTCATTTAAAAAAGGAAAAAAAGAAAAAAAAAAAAAGGATGGTATTTTCCGATTACCTCTTCAGCCAAAATGCCTGGAGATAGGAAGCGGGTATGTGGCCATCAGGCCACTTGTGGCAAGTGCTAATACAGTTTGCAGAAAGCTTCAGGGAGCCGCATCGGCTGGAATCAAACTAGATGGGTTGCCTGTATTTCAACGTTTCCCTCTCTTAGCTAGTGCTGCTTCGGGTAATGATGTTGGCAAAGCAACAGGGACAATGCTTTGTGCCTTATCTGTATGTTAGCAGCCCTAATTAAACGTTTTATCTGTACTCACAAGTAAAGTCAAGGGATTTCACAGGTATTGTATTGCTCCTGAGCTGCGGACCAAGCTTCAGTGTTCTAAGTGATAGTCCCCATTAGCTAGTCCTCAGTTCCAGCGTTCTGCAAACTGGAAATGGTTCTCCACTATTTGACAAGAATTCAGGCAAGAAACAGAGGCATTTATCTATGGAAGGAGTCAAGAGGAAAAGGGAATGTACTTTTTTTTTTTCTTCTCAGTAGTCCAAAGAGTTAGTGCAAGCTTTCTGCACTGTCGTGACAAATCATGAGAAAAAAATTGTATGCTCTGGAAGAGTTTGGTAAGTCAGCCAGAGAAGCTTGAAACTTCTGGGACTTCATAGAGTAGAGAGGCTGGATAACGTCGGATCCAGGGAAGGAAAGTAATGTAAGTGTTTGATTTTTTTCATGGAAACATACTGATGCTGCAAGTAAACATTTCCAATCTTGACTGCATATTCAGTTGAATTTGCACCCTACGAGGAATTTCCCGTAATTGGTAATTAATTTCCAACCAATCTAGTTTGCTGTTAGATACTAGAAACTACTTATTACTGAACTGACAGGTTTTGTGTCCAATCTTTTGTATGTGTTTTCCAAATTCAGTTTGCTGTTCAAATTCTATAAAAGGCTTCTCTAGGTTCTGGCATACTTGTAGTGGAGTGCAATGTGACAAGATGCTCCACAGAGTCTGTGCTCATGTGAATAAATCTGTATCTCTATAGCCAGTTGTTGGTGAGGCTGAGTTAAAGTTGCAGATTAAGAGACTATATGACGATGTGCTGCGATAACAATGGTCTGAGTTTAGGAGCAGCCACAAATAAATTCTACAACAATTCCCTGTGAATGCCAGTAAATGCTACTGAGCCATTCAGTCAGTATTCACCCCAGTGCTGACTAGAGCAGGGCTGGAAATAGCTGCAGGAAGCTTTTCTTTTATTCATTTTCAGTGTGGCTGTATTTCTTTGAATTCTTAGGCATTTTCAGTATTTTTTTTTAAATCCTTCCAGGTGTAGCTTGGGTTTCCACAGTTGTACAAGTCCAGCTGCAAGGTTTTGGAAGGCTCACCAGGGTCGGAGTCCACAAAGACAGGCATGTGTTTAACTTGACAAACTAAGCAACTCCACTAGCTTTACCACAGCAGTTTGCAGTGCTTGCAGTTCAGCATACACGTGAGCCTTGGTGGATTACTAAGTGGACTACTGTTTAATTACCACTTTTAAAAAACGATGTCAAGATTTAATAGTGTGCTTTCCCATCTCTCTTGCCTTCCCTGTATTTTCATGGCTGATGTTTTAGTTCTTTGTATAATTGAGAGGGAGATTGTTTTTTGTGAGATAAAACTTCTTTCTGTGTGAAAATAGTGTATTCTTTACCTTGAACAAATGTAATTTTAGGGAAATTCCACATTTAGCATGGGAGCAAAAGGAAACATTTTTCTGGCAGCTTATCATCATCATCATCATTATTATTAAAATATGATAGCCATTTATAGCTGCTCATAGGAATGTTAAAAGTTTCCTTGTGCTCCCCCATCTGTCTGCATCCATCTGTTGTCTCTTGTCTTGTACTGGAATTGTTAAGTTCTTTGGACAGGGACAGCCTTTTTTAAAAATGGTGATCAAGTTCACAATTAGCAGCTGTATTAGTACAAGAAAGTAAAAATAAAGGTGATATGAGCCAGTGGGCACTATGCAAGTCAGGAGAATCAAACATTCATAATCCATTTGTCTCAGGTGTATCAGTTCTGTGTGTGTGCTCGTGTGGGTACCTGGTAAGTGTTAGATATATGTGTACATATGAGTTTTATTTAGCATTTTTCATTTTTCTCAGTGGCTGCGCAGGTGCTGGGAATGCTGATCGTATCCAGAAGCTACGGAAGGAGTACCATCAGGCCAGGCGAGAAGGCTTACCTTTCTATGAGGACAACGAAGGAAGAACACAGCCGTCTGATTATGACCAGCGCTGGGTAGGTGATGTACATCACAATGTGATGCAAAGTGCTTTTGCAGTGTTCAGGGTTAGAAGAACGTGCTGATTTGTTTGTGTTTTCCAGAAATCCTGCATCAGCTTAACATGAATTTGAGGGGTTTGTAGAAATGGAGAAATCCTTAATGCCAGCCCACCAAAGAAAACATTAATAACATGAAAACTTGGCTAAAAATAACTCGTCTATTCACTGTGTTTGATTTAGACCCACGTTTCTTCTCCTTAAGCCCAAGATATGCAGTCATTGCCGAACTTTG